GCAGTTGATCTTATCTGTGAGAAGCAGCTTTGAAGAAGGTGTCAGAACATATGCTTCCTCTTCTTGATCATGTTCGTGAACTTTGGTTGTACCAAAGAAACCTGAGTGCACCAGCATGCGCATGAGGCGGTATACACAATTAGTTTTGGCGGGATGGATCTGAAGTGCTGAGACCAATTCAGAAAGAGTGATGGATTCTCCATGGTTATGGATTATATCTGGAATCCCTAACTGAACAGCACACTTGAGTGACATTGAACCAATGTAATTGAACATATGTTTGTATAAATGAGCTTGAGCTTGGAAACTAGACTCAATTGCTCCCTGATCCATAACTCTACAAATCACTTTTTTGCAAGGAATCAGCATTGCTTTGCCACTGGCGTGGTGCAGAATTTATTGATGGCACATGCTGTTGGAAATATAGAATTTCCAAAGACATGCTACATTTTGTTCCAAATTCATCAATGATAACGAAAATAGAAATTCTATCATCAGTTGCCGATTTGGAAGTAGACGTAAAGACAAGTCAAGAGAAACTTGGAAATGAAGAAGTTACTAGGAAAAAACTCTTTATTAGGAAACAATGTTGGATGGACAGTTATATGTATCCATAGATTTATCAAGTTTATCATGGATATTGAATTGTTAAACTTTGTGGATTAAAGCTGTAGCCTGTCTTCGTTGCCAACCTAAGCGGAATAAAGATGTAGCATGTCTTTGGAAAATCTATATTTCCTATAGGCCCTGGCAATGGGCTGAATATTCAAAGTACAAATAGTCAATCACCAATTTTTAAGGCTTTAGGTTTCTACAAGCCTTCTAGAACTTCAGACTATTTTTTATGGCTTTAGGTCCGAGAGTGAGTATTTTAACCTTTTTATTACAAAAATAATATCTATATTGAAAATATCATATATATATATATATATATTCTTTTACTTTTACTTAATAAAATATAACAAGAAATATGTCTTTTTTTAAAAAAAATATATTATTAAAAAACAAGTTGAAAATTTAAATTAAAAAATAATTGTCTTGTCAATTTTATACCATATATTTCTCAATTTTATTAATAATTATAATAATTTTTCAATTTTTTTAATTTTAAATGAATATATGTTATTTAAAATTAATTGTAAAAAATTTTATACTATATCTTATGATAGGATAGTTATACTTAAAAATAAAATTTCATTTCACAACGTTGATTTTTTTTTCTGGCCAAATCTTTTGACTTTAAATTTTATTTTTTCCACAATCACTAAAAGTCAAGAACAACCATTAATGTCTTATGGACTTCACCATGCTTTTATCTCTACCAAAAATTGACATGTCTGTTTAGATCATTATTATATATACACATATATATAATATTTATTTAGTGACTAATTAATTTATTATTTTCATAAATGCCATCTTAATGAACACATGTTAATCAACTCTAACTGTTATTTGTAGAGTTTGAAAATTAATAATTAATATGTGTCTAGCCAGCGTTTTATAAGATGCATTTACGAAAATATATCATTTATAATATATAATCTCTAATCTAGTATAAGTTAGATACATCCATTGATATAAATTTACCTTAACATATTCTATCTTCTAATGTCTCTCCAACCAACATACTATCAATCAATACTATACTCCCTCCCCTCTCCCTCTCAATCACCTGTAATCTCTCTCTGTTTTCCATTTTTCTTAGTCTATGTCTCACTCAGCCTCACAGACTCTTATCTAACCTACCAGACAAAGTAGAATCTGCCATACCAACCTGACAGTAGTATCTAGATGCAGAGCCATAATGTTATCTTAATGCCCACTTAGCTTCATAGCCTTTGAACCAGTTCTTGGGTCTCAAACTCAGTTTATTTATTGCCAAAACTTAAATTTAGATTTTATGATATCAGCAGTTAACAATCTTTAGTTTAAAGTCAAAACACATGGTTTGTTCAAGAGCCATATTGTATCAAGCTTTAACACATGATATATTCTGCAGTTATTTTAAAGCGTAAGATGATAAATGTCTTATTTGATCTTTCTGCTACTAAGGATAGACCTCAATGAGGGACCTCAAACCGAATAAGGGACTTATTTTGTAGTCAGTGAAACCAGCTGCCATGAATAATTTCTGCCAATCTTGTTCAGTTCTCTCTCTTCCGGTCACCATAACCATCATCAACATGTCGAAGAACAGCTTTGCTTCAGTTAATTCGTGTTCATCTTCCTTCACATTTATCACAATGTCTATGATTATCACCTTTCCCTTTGCACCCTGTGTTGGGATGGCTTCTCTGCATCTCTTCAGTATCTTTATGCAATCCTCGTCTCCGAAAGCATGCAAAACAAGCTGCAAAAACTCACTTATTTTCAACATGTGAATAAGGAAAACATAATTTGAAGTCGATATGCACTCGTTCAACATCAATTGTTACTAGTCCTCTAACCACAACCATGGTGTCATGAATAAGCTGCGACTTGCACTCCCCTGTCCATGTTACAGGGACAGTTGATGGAAGTTTCTTAACAATCATTGGTAATGCATTGAAACTTATGGGAAATGATTGATGTAAGAGGTAAATTGGACAGCCACAAAGCATAGAAATCCGTGGATTGACACAATCTAGTTTGAACGAGCATTTGCAAATAATATGAATGGTATATATGCAGGATCTAGATAACTTTCAGTCAAAAGTTTTATGCTATGAGAATAAATTATGAGCTAAAAGTAGGACCGCATAAGAAGCATAAAGAGCTAGAATTATTGAGACATAAACGTATTGATCAAGTTACCTACCTTCAATAGAATGGCATCTGCAGGAGGGATATACTGAAGCAGATCACCACTAATGAAATTCAAGTTCCCGCTAGCTGGCAAGTCAGCCACAACGTGAGGGAGGTCAAACACTGTGCATTTCAACTGGGGATATGCTTCCGATATAACCCTAGCTACTGTTCCGGTTCCACCGCCTGCATCAATCAATGAACTCAGGCCCTCAAAAGCTGGCTTGCAGTCCTTAACGACCAAATTCATCATTTGAGAGTCACTTTCCATTGCATCATGGAAATGGTTCTTGAATTCTGGGTCCTGGTCCATATAGTCCCAAAATGCTTTCCCATTGGCACTCTCAAATGGCCTCTGCTTGGTTCCTTGTATCCAGTCTCCTAAGAATTGCCATGGAGTCATCATAGCAGGACCAAGCACTGCCACAACGAAGGGTGATAAGCAATTGATCTTGTCTTTGAGAAGTATCTTGGAAAAAGGTGTGAGAACATATGCTTCCTCTTCTTGATCTGCATCAACTTTTGTTGTGGCAAAGAAGCCAGAGTGCACCAGCAAGCGCATGAGCCGGTAAATGCAACTATCTTTGGCTGGATCAATGTGAAGAGCCGAGACCAATTCGGAAAGAGTGATAGGTCTGCCATGGTTGTGGATTATATCTGGTATTCCAAGCTGAACAGCACACTTGAGTGACATTGAATCTATGTAGTTGAATATATGTTTATATAAATGAGCTTGAGCTCGGAAAGATTCACTCGCTTCCTTATCCATGACTCAAAAAAGAAAAAATTCAGTTTGCTTCTCAGTAAGATCAAGCCCTGTTTTGTGGGTCATATGATGCAAAAGTATTCCGTCTTCCACAACTAGTTGAAAAAGACAAAGAGGAGAGCAAGAAGCCAAGCCACGAGATTAAACAACTTAAATGATTGAAGAAGTTAGTGAAGAATATCCTTCATTGATAAAATTATTTTATAAATAATTATTAAAATAAATTTAATTATAACTTAATAAAACTATTTTTAAAATTATTTTAAATAAATTAAACTATTTATCATAATTTTTCTGCATTTATATTTTCGATTTTCTTTTATCAATATCTTATTCTCTCTAATTTTATCGATTTTTTTCTTCGGTCTTCATATACTATGCTCTCAATTTTTCTCTCTCGTATTTTCATATTTTTCTTTTCAGTACTTTGAAGACACCAAACGATGGTTTTAATATGTTTGAGTAGATGGTTATTTGGAGAATTTGATTTTTAGATATTTTTGATAAAACTAAATAGTAGAAATGATCACAGAAGTTTAAAATAACTTTTAATTGGATTAATTTGAGATATAAACACCAATAAACTCAAAATTTTAAAATTTATAAACTTAGGTTTTCAATGAAATTTTTTTTTTCTATTTTTAATCAAAACAAGGGTTTTAGATAAAAAAAATTTATGTTTTGATTTATAAAAATAGGTTAGAAATACTATAATCAGTGTCAAATTGTCAAAGAAATTAAAATAGTTGAAAGAATTTGAAATTTTAGTTTGTAAATATCAATGACAGTTTAGGCATTAAAGTGTAACAAAATGTTTTTGAATATGGCGTGTAACAACAATATTTTTTCAATATGACGTGTAATAACAGTATTTTTTTTTTTTAACATTACGTGTAACAACATTTTTTAACTATATCGTGTAACATGTTTTTGTACATAGCGTGTAACAACAGTATTTTTTTTAACATGGCATGTAACAATCTAATCATAACGTGTAACATGTTTTTGTACATGACGTGCACCAACCTAACTATAGCGTGTCACATGTTTTTGTACAGTGTAATATATTTTTGTGCATGACGTATAACAACTTAACCATAACATGTCACATGTTTTTATACATGATGTGACACTACCTAATCATGGCGTGTAACATGTTTCATGGTGTGTAAGACGTGTAATTTCATTAAGGATAATTTTATCCAAATTAAAAATAGTTAAAATTATAAAAGAGATTTTTTTTTAAAAAATATCTTATTTTTAAAAATTATTTTTTTAAATACTCTTAAATAATTTTTATAAGGCGAGAGCCTAATGAAAGAAACAGATAGAAAGGGGAAAAGCGGTTCATCAGGGACGCCGCTACCCACTTGTTTGAAATAGATTAAACTCCTACACACTCCTTTATTAGGTGTACTTCCATTTTTTTGAGATGGATCAGCATAGACATTCAGTATTTTATCTCTTGCTACAGGAATGGAGCTATAAAAAAGCAAAGGAAATTAGCACAAACTCTTTTTGGAAAATTTATAGTGGATAATGCAGTTCACCACAGTCCAATTAGTAGCACAGCATATTAGGAAATCTAGTAGTCAAAATCTCCTCCTTTTCTCACTCTTCTAGGTCCACATTGCAGATTCTGCAAGGATAGAATCGGTTGGAACAATTAGACTGGGGATATCAACACTCTTTGGCTCTTTGCTATGAATCACTCAATTCTTATCGCTCACAGCTTTTAATTCATGGACCCCGTTCTGCAAACGTGAGCTGTATGTATGGAAAAGGGGATATCTAGTCTCCTTCACTTTTGGTATATGCATATATCAATCTCGTTGCCTCAGAACTCTTTACAGCCATTCAATATTTATCGTTGTCTCGTTACACTTTTCAAGTTTGAAGCCGAAACTGTAGTGGTAAACCATTTTTTGTCATTTGGGCCCAAAGGAAACGAGGCAAAAATTAGAAAACCAACAAAAGCAAATGACCTCTACAAGACAATAGGCCGAAAGCCTCAAAAGACCCAAAAGAGAAGATGGCCCGGAATTGTTAAACCAGACAGCCCCAAGAGGAAAAGCCGACAAAAGCTCAGAGTCCAAAACCATGAATCCTTTCCTCTCCTCTGTTTTAGGGATTACAGGGAACTGAAATCTGCCATTTTTTTTTTTGGTTGTCCCTTCAATTCTACCTCTTTCGTCGTTATAACGCCCTTCCAAACGGTTGAAACACCGATCTTCCTTACTGGGTTTCTGTCAGATCGGTGACAAAGGTAAGAAACCATGTAAAATTGTATGCTTTTTTTCTCTTACCTGAATTATGGCTGAAAAACTGCTCTTTGAATGTTTACAGGATAAGTTACCTCCATTACTTATAAGATGTCTAAAGCTCAAGATCCATTTTACATCGTCAAAGAAGAGATTCAAGATTCTGTAAGCTGGGTCTTTTCTTTTTCTTTTTGCAAACCTGTTAGGGAAACAATGATTGCTTGATCTCCTTGGTAGTTGTCATATTTGTCTTCTTTGTTTTTGGGATTTTCAACTAGATGACGTTTTGGGTGTTTTGTTTGTTGGTTTAGATCGATAAATTGCAATTAAGTTTTCACCAATGGGAAAGGATTCCTCCGGACACTGGAGAGCAAGTACATCTCACAAAAGAGCTGCTTGCTAATTGTGAGAGCGTTGAATGGCAGGTACTCAAATTAAGTTTTCCTTCTTTACCTGGATTCGATCCTTGAAATGGACAATTCTATGTTGGGATGATGCGTTTTGCATTATCATTTTGTGTTAATTGAACAATTTTAATCCAATTTGCAACTGCTGAAAAGGCTCCTTTCTTGATAGGAAGGTAGATGAATTGGACAAAACAATTTCTGTGGCAGCTAGAGATCCTTCTTGGTACGGCATTGATGAAGTGGAACTTGAAAAGCGGAGAAGATGGACCAGCACTGCCCGTACTCAGGTATCATCTTTTTGGCTGTTACATTTTACTAAGGAGTGTAGATATACTCGGTAATGCTAATTGGCTATATGGGACACTGCAGGCATTGTCCTGTTATTAAAATGATGGAATTTCTGATCTATGCAAAATTTGGATAGCATAACACATGGTGGATCTTAGTCTTATTCTTTTTTCAGTTAGGTATCCCCTTTAAGGATTATTGTAATTGACCAGGTGGGCAATATAAAGAAAGCTGTAGTAGCTGGAAAAGAGAATGGTAATACTGCAAGTGCTATGCGCCGAGAATTAATGAGACTGCCAAATTCTCATCAGCCAGATAGATCCAACCAGTATAGTGCAGAAGATAATGATGACTTTATAGCATCAGAATCAGATAGACAAATGCTTCTTATCAAGTACAGTTTTCTACTTTTCTTTGACTTCTCCTTCCTGTTTCTATTATTACTCTTCCATGCTTATGTTTCATCAACATGCTTTTTTGTCCAATTTTACTAGCGTTTGATTATTTATCAATTGGCGATTGTAGGCAGCAAGATGAGGAGTTGGATGAGCTCAGTGCTAGTGTTGAGAGAATAGGAGGTGTTGGGCTTACCATACATGAAGAACTTCTTGCACAGGTGAGTACTTACTGGTGGTCTTCCCTGTAATGCACCTATTATAATCTCTCTGGTTGACCTGATTGTGAAGCTTAAATCACACATATTTCTATTTGTACGTATTCATGAATGAATTGCTAATGTAGTCAATATGTTCCATTCAATTTCAGTTTAGGATCAATGTTGACTATTTGATATGCTAATATCTGAATCTTTTGGTGCTTCAGGAGAAGATAATAGATGAGTTGGGTACTGAAATGGACAGCACAACAAACCGGCTGGATTTTGTTCAGGTGATTCTCTCAATGTTGTTTTGCAGTTATATAACAATCCCAACCATAATATGAAAATTAAATATTTGGGCTTTTCTGCTTATATGCCAACTTGAGCCGAATTTGCTGCCTATTAATTATATAACTTGTCTTGAATTATTTGTTTGATGAAAATTTCCTCATTTTTCCTTGCAGAAAAAAGTGGCTATGGTTATGAAGAAGGCCAGTGCTAAGGGACAGATTATGATGATATTATTTTTGCTAGTTTTGTTCATTATTCTATTCATTCTGGTGTTCTTCACCTAGAATGGAGAGTAGGCCTAGTTTTATGATGTTCATACACTAGAGGAGGGATCTAAATATTTGGAATACAGAGGAATTGGTTGGTGTGATCTCTAGTGTTGAATAAAAGATGATCTGAAAATGCTGAACAAAAGAAAAAAAAAATTCTCTTCTCTGGGTTTCCAAAAATTGTCGAACTTGATTAGCACTACTACGCAAGATAGCCGTATATTATTCTTACTGTGTACTTCTTTGCAATGTGCTGTTTCTTCTGTAATTGTTGTTGTTTAGATACTAAAGGCTTGCAATACATGGTATGCATCGAGTTCTTTTGCTAGCATCTGTGCACAATGAGCCCACAATTCGTTAGGGTGCAATATTTTGTTATTCAAATTGTTGCCCTCTGTGGAATCGGCTGTAACTTCGTTGGTGTTTTCATTAAAGAACTACCCTTCACGTTTCTCATGCGTAATGGTATAATTGATGCATGGTTTTGCAATATTTGAGAAAGTTTACTTGTTGAATTGATGTGGTTGCATTTGCCATGAGTCTCCGAAGTACCAGAAGCTACAGGGAATAATTCATTCAGGATTTTGAGTATTGTAAGTCTTACTATTGCAAAAGAGATCGTCACTCATGATCGAGTATTATCATATTGGAATCATAGATGACCTCAAAATAAACTAATACCTTCACATTATCTTACTAGAATCTAATGCTTGACAATACATACGTTAACCAATGACAAAGAGAGACCTGGCTGAGGGTTCAAACGCCCAATCCGCTGCAGGAATAGGAAATCAGAATAGCCCAACAGCGGCAGCCGATCACCTCGAAAGGTCACGCCTTTGGAGCTGTTCTTTTCAGCTGTTAGACCCGTCCAGCTCGGTGGGAAAGGCCAAATTTTTTATTTATTTTTTATTTTTAAAAATGGACAATCCATTTCAGTAATGGCTTCCCCTCCCTTTGACCTTCTTTCTTCCACAGCGATCAAATGAAACAGAAGAAAAAAGTTTAATTGTCTTCCTCATCAAGAAACTTAACCCTGACGGAGTCAAACCCAGCGGCCATCACCCTTTTTCTCATTCTTGCTTATAAGTTTTTCCCTCCCTTTATCTGATTATTAGCTCGTAGAGAATCGAAAAACAAAAAGGAAAAAAGAAAATAGGATCGGAACCATGGTACTGCCACTGTTAAAACTAGGAACTTTGGCGTTAAAAACTCTGAGTAAACCGGTCGCTAATAGGCTCAAGCGACAGGCTGGGTACCACCCCAGGTTCCGCCAGTTCATCGTCAACATTGCTCAGGTACAATATTACATACTCTTTGCCATTTTCTTCACAAATTGATATGGAAGGCTAAAGTTTCCATTTTTATTTCAACCCCTTAATTTGTTTTGCTAAAAAGGGGCTGGCTTTTTCTAATTTCCGACAACATTTTAGTACCAGGCTTTCTTGTTTGCTCTGCCTAACGTGGTACAACGTTGAGATAGATTTCTGGAGTGTGGAATGTGAAAGTGAAATCTTAGAATACATGACGATACAACTTATACATTCATTTTTGCACTAGAAGTAATAGCATAACATTCATGCAAAGTCTGCTTATTCAAAAAATCGACAGATTTTTGCAGCCTAAGATCTTGAACATTCTGGTTTGCGCAAATATAAAGAGAAGGAATTGCAATTAACCTGCCTAAAGAAGGGGGATGATAAGTATGAGTACCATTCTTGGTCTTAATGTATCTTTTTTTAAGTTTCTCTGTCCAATTGAAAACTTGATTTTTAACATTTAGCCAGAGGTGTCATCTACATCAATGGTTCATTTGGTTAAAGACCAGAATCAATGATATGTTACGATACTTTTTTAAGCAAATTGAATCACTATCTGTAGTGTTGCATTTCTAACTTCTTGCTGCCAACAGTGCTCAAATATGCATTTCTACTATGTTGAAAGGTTTGATTCAGATGATTTAATCTGTCTCATGCTCCTTTGTTCATTTTCTGATACTCTTTCAATGCACTATTTTTTCCTTCAATGTTCTACTTGTTTTTAACTTGTACTATGAAGTTATGTTTCTTCTTTGAGCTAATATGTCACAACTTGTTGATCAAGATCATAGTATGGTAGTAGTGTATAGTTTCCACTGTAAATTAATGGATTCCAATAGTGTAATCCTAATGCCAATTAATGGAACCAGGCAAATCATCGAATTTCGACAAGAATGCAAAGAAGCATTTATAGTCATGCAACTGATGTTGAGATACGCCCCTTGGATGAGGAGAAAGCTGTTCAGGCTGCTGTAGATCTTATCGGGGAACTGTTTGTCTTCACGGTATTATTTGTTCCCTAGCTATTCTTTTTGTTACTGTTTCTAGAAGTCTTAAAAAATACTTTCGATTTTGCTTGTTATAGATTACTAGATTGATGATGCATTAAAAAAGCATTTTGTACTCTTCTTTCAGGGAAGAACAATCAAGCTGTAAACAGGGCTAAAATTGTTTAAACTGGTACATATTTATGTTTGCATGTACGTTGATACTTCTGTGTATCTACCTGAACAAAAGGTTTTCTGCAAATAATACTGCCAACCAATACCTTGAACTAGTCATATGCTCAGCCTGGTAGACATCTCACTTCTTCTTAGGAGCTGCCTTTTGGAATGCAACAATCAATCTCATGAGTCACATTGCTCTTAAATTATAAGCATCGTTAGAGAATTGGAAATCTACCTAGATTCTAGATATATCACTGGTTCCCTAGAGTAGAATATGTATGCTAGCATGAGGTTTAGCAACTAGCGAATCTTGGTTATCATTATTCATTTCTGCCCATTTTGGTAGGTTTGAGGTGATAGCTAACTTCATTACTCTTGCACTCAATGCGTGTAAGAACTGGTGACATCTATCTATGTACTTGCATGAAATGCCAAACTTACCAAACATGCTCTCCATGACATATACACTATACATGAAGGTTTCTGATTTTGTACATGTCTAAGTCTGTATGTAGGTTGCAGGAGCTCTCTTGATCTTGGAGGTTCAAAGAAGTTCTAGATCAGAAGCCAAAAAGGAGGAAGTACGCAGGCGAGAAATGCAGGTATTCATTGAACAATCTCCTTTGTTTTGTTGTTGATTCTGATGCTTGAACTCTTATGGAACTAACTTGGAGCTTACTTCAATGACTTATTTGTGCATGAAGATTTATTTATGAAAGAAGCAGAGTGATTGAGTGATTTTTTTTTAACCATTATGAATCTTGCTATGTTTGAATGGTAGCTGTCATTGTTTTGGTGAAAGTAAAAATCAGGAGCCTGTAGCTACTTTTCTGGCTCTATCGTATGAAATTGTGCTAGGGAGAGAGCTGCCTAAAGTTATAGGTTTTCTTGCTATCTTTACTTTGTCTTTGTATATGCTTTGTGTATGACCTGATAGATTTACAAGTCTTTTTCTGGAGAAGTGCAGAGATAGTCCTCCTGCTAGATAAATGTGAATGAAATTTGACTGGACAAAATGAGGATATTTTGGTCATCATGGGCAGGAATTCTTTAGACTTAATAGTTTATTTAGTTCTTGCAGCAAAACCAATTCTCATTTTCCCTTTACTTTTTCCTAAACCAGTCCTCCTTCATTGCATTTACATTGAAAAGCTAGTTTCATTCACTAGGTGGCGCTTCCTTTATCGGCTGCATGGAAATGTGTTTTCACTTGACATGAAATTCCAATTTCCAAATGTTGTGATTGCTTTTTGTGGTGATGGCAAAGTAAGGATTAATCCGGTCTGCCTTGCATCTCCTGCTCCTCAGGGAATTATCGATTTCTAATGTCTCCTAATTCACAAGCACAATTCTTCGCTTTTATTTCAGGCAATAAAAAAAAGATGAGGACTTAGCCAAAGAAGTGGAACTTCTTAGGAATAAGCTTGAAGAACTAGAACAACTTGCTAAGCGACAGGGGCTTAGTGGTATTTTCAAATTTAAACATGCTAATACAGAGGCGGAAAATTTGGCAAAACCAGCTTGATTCAGACAGGAGCTTAACAAATAAGTTAAGTATAATTTTTTAATTCCAATTCTGTTCTATTAAAGAATTCCCTGGTCAGCCTCTCAACTAGGGAATCATTCTTCTTTTTCATTCTTTTCAACACTGGGGCCATCTTTTTGGACAGATTCTGGTTTCACCAGGTCCAGTAGAACATACGAATTTTTTTTGTTTATATTACTGAAAAATAAAACCAAAGATAGACATTGTGTTGCCTTAATGAGTTTATGCTCAAGGGAAGTTGGTTGGTATGGTGCTCTATAGTGTTAAAGAAATACAAACATTTTAAAATTTACCTTTATGAGTTGAAATGTTTATAGCTTTGCCACCACTTTGTTCCGAAGTAGCTTTGCCAGCTGTGAGTGTCAACCTATCTTTAGAACATCTTTGCTCTTTATAGAACTCTCTCACACCCACACAAAGAGTACATGCATGTAACCATGCATGTGCCGAGGTTGGAAAGTTTGGTATGGGTCCATCTATGCTTCAAAACTTTGCCGATAAGCAGTGGGTACTTTTAGAATTCAGGCAAATGAAAGCAGTTAATCTGCTTTGGAATTTTGAGGAGGCCAATGTCTTGGGATTTGAAACTTTGATGGTTTCTGCAGTGTTCCTTTTCTACATAATCTGGTGAGGTAGAAACTTTGTCATCCTATTTCTTTGGGGCGGAAAAGAAGCTAACCTTTCTATTAAACTGACAGCTTCATTTCAATCTTTTTCCTCAATTAAAAGGCCTATAACATCTAGGACCCATATGGATTAAGATAAGTCTCCATGTATCAGCTCATTCCTTAAATATAAGTGACTAGTTTAGACAATAGTGTGCTTGTATCTTTTTCCATTATCCTGTAACCAAAGCAAATACAGAATATCTGACACCTTAATGTTGGAATAAGCAAAAAAATATTTGTTTAGATGATTATATAACTGATTGACGCCAGATGGCTTAATTAGAATTAGTCTAAACCATAGTTTAGGATCAAAAATTTGATGCATTTCAAGTGGCTAAAGCCTTGGGTTGGGGAGAATGATGCTGCTTATCTTCAACAGTGATCATTCTCTTCTTAAAACACTGCTATCCTTAAAGTCTCATCTCAAAGGAAAGAGGGCATCAACCAGCAACAGATTACAGGAATCTGGTGGGTGGTGGTGGGAGTTCCCTTTATGCCTTTCTTGCCCGACTTATCTTTCGCTTTCTCACCCCCACAAAAACTGATCATTCATTCTTTCGTTTCTTTTGTGTGTGAGATAAAAAGAAAATAAGAAAGGGTATTTTCTTATGTGGCTAGTCGTTTCTTTTAAAAGTGAATTTCATGAATGATTTGAGCAAAATCCAATACCAATAGGGGATTATAACTCATTCAATTCATGAGTCAATTGCAAATTCTCTTTCTCTTTTTTACCTTAACGATTAAGGAGTGTATATATACAAATGAATGGGGGAAAAAGATGGGAAATAAAGTAGTAGCATGGAGTTAAAAATCAAAACAATAGGAGTGATTATCATTAAATGAGGAATACGGACCGAGACCGACTATCATCAAAAGGACCAAGTGGTAGAGTCAGCTTCCTTGTCTTTGTTTCGGGTCTAATTTGTCTATTGGAATCCCCACCTTCCTTGCCCTCACGTCCTTATCTTGTAAGCCAAAACAAGTAAACCAAGAGGTGAAAAAAAAAATGGGGAAGTTGGAGAGGAAGATTTGGCAAGAGAAATGCTCTTTTGGTAAGCACGCCTCTCAGTATTTATTCTTTATTGACTAAATGCTTAAATGTTTAGATATTTTTTTTAATTAAAAGTCAAATATTTTAATTACAATAATTAAAAGTTAAACATTTTCAATTGTTTACAATTAAGGGTTGAGTTGAAAAATGAATAAAGTGTATATCGTACGCGATAAAAAATTATCTTGAAAATTTAATTGTTACACGTTATATTAAAAAATATAATTGTTATATATCATGTTGAAAAATATAGCTGTTACATGTTATATTGAAAATTTTATTATTATACGTTATATTAAGAAATATTATTATTACACTTTATATTGAAGATTTAGTAGTTACACATTGTATTAAAAAAGTCATTATATGTCACGTCATAATTTGAACCATTTTAACTTGATAGAAAAGATTTTATAACAAAACTACATTTCCGTATCTTATTCTTTCAAGTCAACATTCACGTCATGCACGTATCCTACACATACCAGATATCTCTCACTTTAATCCTTAATTGTAAAAAATCGAAAATGGTTTATCTGTGATTGTTATAATTGAAATGTTTGCCTCTAAATTGACAAAAATTTATAAATTTTATATCAAATTAAACATTTAGTCTTCTCTTTTTTATTCTCGCTTTCACTATGCACTGTCCACATTAATTATAATAATTTAAACAGTAAGTCTAATAATATATTTTATACCATGATTTATTTAAACAATTTTACCAAAATTATTACATCTTACAATTCAAAATTTTTAAATTCAAACTATTAAGGAAAAGAATAAAAGAATAAGATTTATTCAAAAACTTTTTTATCGTCTTAATCATGTAAATCAATATCTAATGTCTTTATATTAAAAAAAATCAATTTCGATATTTAGTGAGAAATTTTAGACATTTTAACCTCCTTGGATAACAATAATATAATTTTATATGATCATATTTATAGTAGTATGTATTATGAACAAGTTTTGATTTGTTAAACTAATAGTATTTCTTTTCCAAATAGACAATGCCTTCTCTTTATTTGATATATGACTTGTTTTTATTGGAGAAGACAAGAAAACTTATAAAGAAAACAATAACAATGAAGAATGTGATTTAAGGGGAAAAAATAAAGTCCCCTTCATAAGGGAGAATTTGGGTCAAAACTTCCATCTTTTGCAACTTATATGGGCAGTCTATACTCTGTCATGGCCAAACTACCTTCTTGGTCAATAAGTTAGATTGAATATGCTTATTATAGTTATAATATAATTATTAATTTTGTGAATTTATTAAAAGATCATGTTAATTCATGCATTATTATTGTTTTTAATTAGATATTACATGAAGAAACCATGTTTACACTTGAATAACTTTTAATATATACATATATATAATATTATATCAGTGAAAAAAAAAATTTATAGATGATGAGAGTCGAAACCTAAAGATCATAAGCCTCTCTTGTTGTTTGGGATGAGGCTTTACTAACTTAACTCGTGCATTATTGAAAATTAAGACTTAACTAAAATTAAGAAAATAAAAAAGAAAGTAAAATATAATTTTTTTAATTTATCTATAATTTTGATTTATTTAATCTATTACCGTTTCATAGCAAGGATTGGTGGACGAAATATGAACCAGAGACTGAATCTTCATATACCTCAGAACAATACCTTTTTGTTATGGTGAAATATATTGGTAACAGTGGATTAGTTGATTGAAATAAAATTTAGACTGGGTACACTTGATGATATGAATCATTTGAAAAATAAACGTATTTGTTTTGTAGTGGATCTCTCATAAGATCAATTCGTATTGACTCTAGTTCGTTTTAAAAATGTAATTAAAGGAACTATATGGAGCACAATTAGGCATAAATTGACATCAACTTTTCAAAATTTAGTAACTTCGACTCCATTAATAATCACTTATGAATCATCTATTATAGTTTCACATAATAAAAAAAATGACATTTTAATTAATGATATTTAATTATAAAAATTTATTTAATTTAAAATAATAATAAAAATATTTGATTAAATATACTAAAAAATAAAAATTTATTTAATTTTTTTAATGTTATCTAACTGTATGCTGAGATAAGAAAGTGAAAAATATACGGCATAATGCTAACATATGACAAACCGGCCCATATCTTGTTTAGCTCTTCTTCTTTCGGTGCCATTCAAAGTGCTCTAAGGGGGCAAATAAAGAAATTGCGGGTTGACTTTGAGTTATATACCTAAGTTTAATTAATCAAAAATATGAAATTTAAGAAACCTTGAACTCTATTTGTTTGCCTAATCAAGCTAAGGGAAATATAAAATATATAAAAATAAATGAGTATTTTGTTGAAAATGTTATTTTTATCTAAATCTAATAACTGTTTAAATATAAAGAAAAAAAAGTTGAAAATATAAAATTTATGATGAAATCAACCATTTCTAAATATTGGAATAAACCTAATAATGCTTCATCAGCTTATTTTAAAATGTCATTATTAAATCCTCATATTATATAATCGATAGCTTCTTAGCTATCAATAATTTTGAATCAGATTCTATTCCCCTACTTGGACTAATTGTTTCAATCACTTTTTGTTTTCTCCATTGATCTATTTTATTTCGTCTTCCTTTCATCTCATTTATTATTTACCAAATGGTTTTATTTTTTATTTTAAAGAGTTTGAGGGCATAATTGTAATAATCCCTAAAACCAAAGGGCATATAGCAAACCAAATTATTTTTTATCTACCAATCCATGGTATAATCCTTTCCTAATTAATTTTTTTGTACCTTATTACAAGATCGTTATTTTTATTTAAAAAAATTAATTTAATGAAGTATGCAATATTTATATTTATAAGTTAAAGGTTTATTTTATTTATACAACGTGAAATTTTGTAATAGTTTTTTATTTGAATTTGCTGACACACTTTATCTATTAAAATCGGGTTTGAGTTGAATCTGATGCTGCTTTATCACAAATTTATTATTATTTTTTAAAAAAGTTAATTTAATTAAATGTGAAACATCTATTCTTATAAATTTAATGTTCTTATCTATCGTATGTATAATTCCGTAACACTATACGTTACTTTCATACTTTTCCTTTTTTTGTTTTTTAAATTTATATAAACGCGATTGCTTTCAATGTCCTTTAAAAAACAAAAATAAAATTAAAAGAACCTTCCTGTTTGGGATTTGGGAATAAAAATAAAATACAAAAAAGAAAAGAAAACGTGGAGGTGAGGAGCATCTCTTCTTTTTAGTATGTTTCTTTGGTTGAATGAACAGTGGACTGTTTTGTTTCATCGAATATTTACTTTCTCTTTCTTGCAATTTCCCAGCACTTTCTTTCTCGCGTTCTTCTTTTGTCTGAGGGCTTGCTCCATACAAACTTGAGGAACTCTTAAGCCTCTGATCACTCACTGGTTAGCTTTCTAAGATAACTATTTCCATCTCTTTTGAATTTGTAATTTGACTTTGATCTCATGCTGTCTTCCTTTAATCTCAGTTTTAAGGTATTTGGAAAGCTGAGTTACTTTTCTTTTTTCTTTTTTTTTTTGCATATAATTCAGATTTTGGTGTTTTTTTTTTTTGCTTATTTT